TCCTTCATCCAGCTTCCAGCCAGACAACCGGTACTATCACTTACCATGGTGAAAGGGAAAAAATCATCAAGAATAAATCAGATTCTCTGCTCACTTTTCCACTTACCAGTTATAAATGTCCACTGACTTGGGTAGAAATACTATTGCCTTCTATTGAATTCAATTAGCCAAACCTTATGTGTTGCCAGCAATGTGTTCAGTGGAGATCTGCTGACTTTTGTCATTTAGGAATGTGTTTTTATAGATGAATGGGACCCATATTATTTCCTTGATAACACAGAAATAATTTAAATAATGGCCCTAATTCTTCTTAAATAATGGCCCTTGAGCTGCCTTAGTTTAATTTTCTCAGCCTTGTTCCCCTGCCATTATGACATCAAAGATCCACGGGTTACTCTGGCTTGAACAGGGAATCAAAACAACAATGATATGAAATACAGACCCGTTATATTTTGAATTTATATTTTTAAGTGCCCATATATACACTTTATAGCTCGGGCCAATAGCTTAAAAGATAAATATATACTGAACTGCATGAAATCTAAGATACATGAAAAATGGAAATATGTGTTGAAATTAAAGGGCTCTTCAGATCAAACATGAGGCGCTAAGAGGGAAGCTTAGTTACAGGTTTGAATAGCCTATAGGATGTGGTAAGGCATTTTATATTTTCGGAAGGAAATGCGGATAGCAGCATATCTGGTTTCTGAGAGAGTTCAAGATTTTCCAGGAGTGGAATTGCGTAAGTGCAATTAAAGCTGAGAGATGGACAACTACACTGGAGACCACAGTCAATGCTATTTTGAGGCACCAGCCAATGTCATAGAGTTTATAGACATCATTTATCAGAAATAATAAGGAAACACTTTACAACTGAATTGCTATAGGGAAACTCCCAGTGTTCTTCAGATTTCATTTCTTCCCATTTTCTCATCTGATTATTCTGATTTAAGGCCTTTCAAGTTCCTGTGTCTAGATTTCAAAGGAAAATGTCCCTGAGAAACCAGCCATAGCCTTGTCCTGTACATCCATGAGCTCAGCTCCCATCACTTCCCATTATTGCYTCTCTCCTGCTTCTTACAGGAGTTGAGAAGTGAAAGCTTTGGGCGCTCTGGTTATTTCTGCCCTCATATATTGCTGGGTCAGATCCCCGTCTCATTTATGTGAGCTTCCCCGTGGGTTAGACAAAGCAGAGCTCGCTGCCTCAAGGCTAGGGCTGGGCCAGTCGCTGCTGCGGTGGAGGAGGAAGTGAAGACAGGGCAGAGCTGGGACAGAGCCAAAGGGAAAGCCCTGGAGAGCGAGGGCAGCTATTTCCGCTGCCGCCGCAGGACAGACCCACAACTGGTGCTTTTGCTTCCACAACTTGAGCTGCCTCCCCAATTCCTCTCTTGGCTGAGCTGTCCCCTTCACAGGTTGGGAAGGAGGGAAAACAAGCGGTGGGGCCATGACTAATTTTGCTAGTCCGAGCTCCTGGCTGCCCTAGGAAATTCGCTGCTTTGTTTATGCTCGATCTAGTTCTGTTTATGCTGTAGGAGTCGGCCAAGAACAGAGCTTGGTCTTTAATGTTCTGGTTACTCAGTCGTGGGTCAGCATTGCCCTACATGACTCTTCAGACGTCCTGTGCCAAAGCGTGCTAGCTAAACCCAACCTGTGCAGAAATGTCCCAGGTCAGACACCAAAAATCACTAGTTACAAATACTGAAAAGTTGTTTTGGCCCAAAGGAAAGACTTTTTATAGAGCTATGGATGACTCTTAGCCTGTGGGGTAGGCCTGTTTCCTAGAGAATATCAGTAATGGCTCTGGCAGAGGCCATGTTTAACTTCTATATAATCATTTTTGCTCTGTAACACAAAAGCTTTACTGGACAAGGCAGCCATAGCATTAGGCCTATGTTCATTAAAAAGATTTGCCCTCRAAAAGTGAGCTGAGCATGACTTAGAAACAAAGAGAGGGAGAGGAATGTCACTTTTTTTTTTTTTTTTCTTTTCCTAGTTCTTACATTTCTATTTTTTCTTCTAGGGAGCATATGTTTACAAAATTTCATTGGATAATTCTTTAAAAATAAACTCCCACTTGTGTTTATTTTCACCAGTGGTGGAACACAGCAGACGGAGGGAACTGCAGAGAGCTTGGTTTGCATCACTCGGGGCCACCAGAGGTCAGACTTAAACTCCTATTAATTCGTAATACTGAGAAGCTTTAATTCAGACTCTCAGCTACTGCAGAAACTGGAAATACCTTGGAGATGTTTGCTGCATTCTTCTTGTCCTGGCAGAATGTATCTTTCCTGAGTATTTTCATATTCTTTGTTAGGTGTAAAGGGCTCTGGTTTTGCCTCACTTGCAGCTTAGATCCGTCAAGGATCTAAGGAGGCTTTCCTGATATTTGGCCTAGTGTCACCTTTTCTTTTCATTCCTTCACTTACATTATACTTCTCTTGTAAAGCCTCTTGTAAATATGAGTACAAAAAAAAAGAAGAATTTTTTGAAGAAGAAGAAACATTTGACATAAGCTAATTAGACAAATTATACATGGCTGGTGTTAGAAATGACCAGTTTTCAGGACACTAATGTCCTGTTTGAACAAGTGATGTGTCCAGAATAGCAACCAAGAACGTCTAGATGATGGAGTAGTGGAGTAGTGTAACTCTTRGACTTCCTGTAGTCCAAGAAATATTGGTTTCTGTGATCTGAGTCACAGAATCATAGAATCATTAAGATTGGGAGGCACCTTTGGAGATCAYCTAGTCCAACCCTCCCCACACAAGCAGAATATCTCAGAATACCTTCACTTCTACCTCAGCTTTCCCTTCCCCATTGCACTGTGTGATGGGAACAGCAGTATAAATGCTGCTTTGTACTGTAGCTCACAGACTACATTCTGCCCAAAGGACAATTTTTCCAGCTACAGCCTTACACTGGGATAGTAGATGAGTGGGAAAGGAACTTACAGACAATATAGGAAGTTTTACAGCTTTGAATAACATTTTATGTCTTGTAGTCCTAGGTGCTTAGTTGCTTAGATATTACCATGCCCATGTGGAAGGAGGGAGTTTCCATAATAGGAATCTGATCTGTGACGATGGAAAAAGCTGACCAACCTACCGTGAGAGCCCAACTCTTCCATCCAGTGAAGTCACTATTGTGTCCTGCCATAGCTAAAGACACAGTGCAGGTGAGGTGTTGAAACCTGTGCAGTATGGGTTGAACCAGATTTCTGAAAAATGGTGGAGGAAGGAGCACCACAGATATAGCATGGAAAAYAGAACTTGTGTAGGGACACAAGTCTTGTGTCACAAGAGGAATAGAGGAACACAAGACCCAAGATGGACACAAGATAGATAGAGGAACTCACGGCAGACGTTCTTATGCCGTATTATTCAACATCCTTGGTCTACAAGAGATGACWGAGGAGTAACAGGGTAGTCTTCACAGCCAGCTTGCACAGTCTTTAGTTACTCAATTGACTGGCAGTCAGAGCTACTAGTGCTCTTGATGGCTCTGAATGAGCTCAGATCAGGTAGGAAGTGAAATAATGCTATGGATTCATATCACTTAGATTGCAAGAGGTACTTCATGACCTGAGATGAATTGCAGCCAGTAGTAATGTAGTAATGGGTTTTTGCTTGAAATCTCTTTTATGAATCATGGATCTTGGGCATGGCAATCTAACTTTAAAGTAGTAGTGGGGTCCTTGCCAATATACTGCTTGATTTTGTTCATCTTTTGATATCAACCAGGAAACAATRGACCAAATAATGGTTAAATTTAGGCTTTCTCAGTGGAACACTTGCAAAGAGCAACAATGTGTAATCTTTAAGCACTCCCTATCCCAGCTAGAAAGCAGCTGGAATCCTAACTACTTCTGAGTCGCCATGGGACCACCTCATTAGCCCTGTGACTTGCTAAAAACAATTCTGTCAGACTTTCATCTCCAGCCTTCCATTTTTCAGATATTAACTAAACAAACTCCTACTAGCTCCCTTGGGGATCATTACATTTTCTTCATTTGTGCTGCAGCAGCAAAAGTTTAAACTTGGATTGTAATCATAAAAATTAACTTGCTGATTAAAAATAGTCCTTTAAGCAGTGTGCATGGAATAATCCATCATAAAAACAAATGAGTCTGCAGCAATACTTTGACTTGAAAATCTATTTTCTCTTTAAAATTTAAATCAATTGCATTTTTAACCCAGTTTTTAGTCTATATAAAATACAATGAATTACTAAAAAAAGAAAGAACCATATTTTGCAGTGCAGTAGACATAGTCTGGAATATATACTTTATATCTATCATAACAAGATAGGTTTGTATGTCATGGACATAGTTTTTGGATGAAGTGCCCTTCAGGCAAAACCACTGATGTTAGTTATGTTACACAAAAAGTAAGTTAATGCAGAAAATTTGCTTTCAGATATTTGAAAGCTGTTTGAAGATAAAAGAACTGCACATACAAGAGCTAATCTAGTTCTTGTTGAAGGACCTGTAGTGAAGGTCCTGTTTAATTCACCAGAAGCTGCTGGAGCAGATCTGATAAATGCAGCAGAGCTCTGCTTGCAGGTAGGCATTTGGAAATAATGACAGTACAGTCATTTTAAATATTTCGTACATCTCCGTGCCTCTGTATCCGAAGTGAACTATTAACATTCCACAATAGGTGCTTATAAATTCATTCAATCTATTGCTACTAACCATACTCATTGTGTGATAAATACAAGAAGTAAGAGAAGAGCTATATGGAGAAAGATGCAGAAGGATATCTCTAACTTATGTGAGAATATATGAAACTGTTCCTGAAACTAAAGAAAAMAAATTCAAGTCTCCTTGCTTCATCACTTTTCCCCCATCACAGTTTCACTTTTCCAGATGTTTGTGCAGTATGAAATAATTTAGATTTTTCACCCCCAGTCAATGACACAAACCCTCCATGCCTCTTTTTTTTTTTTTAAATGTCCTTCACCAGTACTGGCCTCAGCATTAATACCCTGATATTCCTCACCTTTTGGTCCGGGTAATATAGTGTGTGTCGAGCAGACGTCTGTTGTAGGTCGACTGTCAACATCAAAACCAAAAATCTGAACTTGGAAAACAAAAAGCACTACTAGGGTCCCGTATTTCCTTAGCTGTTGCTCTTTCTTGCTGCTCATCCTTGCAGCTTCTCAGGAAATGCCTTTCGTTGTTACAGTCTTAACAAATGCAGCCGATACAAAAATAAATGCTCCACTAACTGAAGCAGTGCAAAGAGTTGGGAGTTACATGCTAGAACAGCTAAATAAAGTGAAGAAGAGAGTTTGACAAGGCTACAGTTATTTCTGTCCTGCACATTATCCAGGATATTTATTTAACAGTGACAGCTGTTTATTCCAGTTTATCTCTTATCTGTGAGATGTTTAGCTGCTTTTGCCATGGAAAATTTCTTCAATATATGGGGATATCTATTTTGTCATTTTTTTTTTCCTTTCAGCATAGACTCTTCACGCACAGCTTTACACTTACTCAAGAGACAAAAGATTTCAATATTGTAACCATGTGAGTGGTAATTAGTTATAGGATGCTTGTGGCTGGCTCTGTGCTAGAAGAGAAGATGCCTTATAAAGTTTAAAGGGACATAACTATGAAAACTGTCATATGGGACATGAGAATAGGTGGAGGTCTGCCATGGGTAGAAGGCATGGAGGCTGCTCCAGCCCTTCTGGCTGCCACATACTGGGTAGCAGGGCCTGAGAGTGGGGCTGAAAAGCTGGAGTTACCAGGGAATCTGTGAATCAGAGACTCAGGAAAGAGAGTTTTATGCATATAGCCTTCCTCACAATGGTTGCTACAAACCCAGATTATGTTGGTAGACACCATACAGAAGGACAGACACCAGATTTGAAACAAGAGAATAAAATGAGCTTGAGAACCTTCCTGATCACCTCGTGCCCCTGTCTCCTATTTCTAAAGGGGAGAGACCAATCTGACTATCAGGATAGATAGGGGTGTCACAGAGCGCATTGTTTCTAACCTTTTTCTTTTTTACCTCTGCTGTATAGGATCATATGTACATAAAGTCGACTATCAGTTTTTCATTGGGATGCTTGGACTTTATAATCCAGGGCAGCAGCCCTCATGGATGAAGGAACAGGTAGCGTGCAATACTTTCATGTTTCCTCTTGTGAAAAAGACTGTGATAGAGACCCACCCCAGTGCCTAGAAAAGACTCCAGCTTTTGATGAGGGGAGCACAGTAACCAGGGACTAGTAACCACTAGTCTAGGTAGCTTGGCAGCAAAGGAGAGGCGACGGGCAGCCACAGACTGTCCTGAAATTTAACTTCTGTATTGTCACACAGAGAAGGACACAACTGCTTTCTAACCTGAACTCCACTGTTTAACTGACTCCACTGTTTAACTGTGTGAGGGTATGTTTKCTTTCCATCATAGGTAATGAAATATTTTCTTAATAATAGATTTTCAGATGCCTTCTTCATTATTTGAGAGCTTTAGCTATTTAGCCCCTATAACTTCTAAGCCTTTTAACAGGCAGGAGTAGCAGGACTGATGTAAAATTGCATACTTTTTCCTTATAGGCTGAAGAAGGGCTTTGATGTCAGGCTKTCACGCAGAATGAAATGTTGGCCAAATTCCCAAGAGGGGTTAAGAGTCTCCTCTCCCTCTCTATTTCTAGCCTAGACAGACTGCCCCACTTTTAAAAACACTTTTTTTGTTGTTGATCTTTGTTTTCAAAAACAAATAGTGGTCTCCGTACTAACAAAAGTCATTTAACACTCTCAGATGTGGCCTTGCTAACAGATAGACCATAGCTAAAGGGAGGGAACAGTGAAAGCTGGGGTTGTAGATGGACAGAGTCATACCAAAAATAAACTTGTGCCTCTGTGATTTCAGTCAGCTCTGACTTGTAAGCTTTAAATCTGTTTTATTTATCTCTTCCTTCTTTCCACTTTCCGTTTTGTGAGCACAAGGTCAATGTAAGAGCAAGAATAGATAGCGTAGGAGTGGGAAGCTAGTGTACTTAGCTTTGGAGGAGGCATTTTGGGAAATGGTGCCAAAATGATGTGAATGATGCTATCTGTTCCACAATACTGAGAGACTTACAGTACATTCTTTGTTATTCATCAGTGATAAAGAGGAGTAAGTGCAAGTGAGACAGGAATCCATTTGTTTAACCAGTTCAGTTACTGACWACATCTAAGAGAACATTTTTCTCATACTACTGTTTTAAAAATATTCCATATTAGAAAAGAAATCAAGATCCTACACATTTTTTCCTTTATGAAATGCACAAAACCCATAATTTTTTTTTTTTTTTTTTTAGAGTGAGAAATGAAGCTTAATATAGCCAAGAGCTTGTCAACTGAGACACTTACTTGCTTTAAATCTAGGAGATCCAGATTCAGATTCTTTATCTGCTTAATTCAGGTCAATGGACTGGAACTTGAAGATTGCACTGGAACCTGAAGATTGTATCATGTTATTACAAGGCTATTGGCTAATCAATTATCTCTTCCCTTAAGTTGGACCAAAATTCCTGTYCTGGAGCTAGGAAACTGCCTCAATAGAAAATCCATCAAAAATGATATACCCACACAAAAAACAAACATGAGTTTTGGCCATCAGCATTTATCAAACCAGTTGCACTGAAAAATCCTGAAGCAGCCCTATTACTGAGGGGGATTTAATGAGGCACATGACCTATTGTGCATCTTAATCCTCATTTAAACAGGCTTAGGAAAGTGTCTGTAGGCAAAAGAGAAAAATAAACTAGGCAGTTGTCCAGATATAAAGGATGTAAAGCAAACATTTCCTAAAGCATGAATGTTTTACAAGAAAACCCCAAGAATCCTGAAAGATTCTCTTTCTTCAAGTTGAGCAGTAGTCAAGACACCTTTGCACAGTACATTTCCTGCTTAGTATCCAAGTAGTTCCTTCACCTGATTATCCTTTGGATAAGAGTTGTTAAATGTCAATGGACTATAAAGTGCATAGACCACATCCTGAAGGGCTGTTTGTCAAAAGGTGGCCAGATCTACAGCCAATTCTAATAACTCAGAGTCCTAGATCTTGTGGTTGGACACCACGTTAATATATCCTGCTTGTTACCATGGGTTGATTCAGCCCAAAGTGCTGAAAGTCCACTGGCATCCTTTCTGTCCCAAATTTAGTATTAAGGAGAAATTCCTCCTTCGTGCCCAAGTATACTTACTAACTGAGGGCATGTGAAGTCAAAGAAGAAAGCACAGTTTTTCTCTGCTTTTCCTGAAGTGAAAACTGTATGGCTTCTGTTCTCTTGGTGTTGGAGATCATGACTATTTGAAGAGTTTCAGTGTTTTGTGTTTTGCCAAGTGCAGGGAGGAAACTAAGCCTAAGGTTGTTTTGAAAAATGTCATTTTTTTGGTTAAGGTTGTTTAGAAAAATGTCATTTTTTTTGGTTTTGATGCTATGAAGTGTCTGCTTGAGCCTGTAAACAAAGGTTTTACCAATGTTATTCTTATCATCAAGATACAATGACAAGACTTTAATATTCCTGCAAATAACTGGAAAAAAAAATCTGTCACAAGTAAGGATAATATTCTCCAAAGTCTTGTTGCTTCTCTGGTCAGTTAACAGAGCTTGTAGAAATTTAACGATATTCCATAACTCTTGTTGAATTTTCAAAGGGTCAGTCCCTGTAGTGTAGGAATATATGGCCTTCTATCACCTACAAACTGCCTGACTCCTACTAGTCCATTTTACTATGTTGAGTTGGATGGCATCAGTCTATCCCTTGTTGTCTGTCTGTATTAGTGCTCCCTGGCCTGGCTCAGGGTTTGGGCTCTGGGAGATACTGAGGTCTATTTTACGACCTTCTTGGGGTAATTTTACTCACCTCTTTATCCCCTCCTGCCCACTGCTCCCTAGAACTTTTAGTCCATGAACAGAAGTTCCCGTGGTGAGGCAGGTGGCTTTTGGAGGCAGCTGTTGCCCAGTCTGATGTATGGCTGGTCAGCACCAAAACCTCAGAAGGAGCTTCAGCTGCTTATCTTTTATATTAAGAAAACTGCTGAACACTTTCTGAGGTGCAGTACAGAGCAGACACTCTGCTCTGTTTTCTAAAAAGCTTTCATTGTGTGTGATGAGGCTRTATCTGGAGYACTACATCCCGTTCTGGGCTCCACMGTCCAAGAGAGATATGGAGCTACCGGAGGGAGRCCAGAGTAGGGACACAGGTATAATTATGGGACAGGAGCATCTCTTAAATGAAGAAAGACTCAGAAAGTTTGGACTGCTTGGCCTGGAGAAGACAGGGGGGGATCTCATCTATGTGCTTAGTGTATCTGAAGGGAGGGTGCTAAAAGGATAGACCCAGGCTCTTTTTGTACCCAGAGATAAGAAAAGAGGCAAACTGAAACATAGGCATTTCTAAGTAAACAAGAAGAAAAGCTTCTTGATTGTGAGGGGGACAGAGCAGTGGAGAAGGTTGCCCAGAGAGCTTGTGGAGTCTCCTTCCTTGGAGATTTTCAAAAGCTGTCTGGATAGGAGCCTGGGCAATGTGCTTTAACGACCATTTTTGACCAGTATGGTTGGAGTAGACCATCTTCAGAAGTCCCTTCCAAGCTCAACATTCTGTGAATCTGTTGCCTCAGCTCCCTCGTGTAGCACTGCATTACAGCTTCATCTTTCTAACTCTTGTATTTCACACGGTTTCTTAGCTCGTACTTAATGTATGTTAACTCCTTCACTGCAAAAACTCAAGGTGACACATGGGCTCCAGCTAATACTTTTCCAGCTGTGTATATAAAGAGTGCAGTACTAGGCCTTTACCTGTATCTGCTGGGAATTACTAACAKAGTTAAGCCTTCTAGCCACATGGTAAGCCACACGGTGAGTGTTCTCTGACAGCTGGTCTGCAGGCTTTCACTCACACTGAAAATAGCTTTGACTTTACTCATATGCCATTAGACTTCCTGCAGAGGCTGAGACAGATACCTATTGCTATTGTTTTCCATGAGAACACTCAAAGAGGCTGTCGAAAGGAGTAAAAGACATTCACGTATTCATTTAGAGATACGATAGAAAGTGAAATACTCAGTGTGGTTTGTAATTGTGTTTATCTAAGTGCAGCCTCTTCCTGTGTCAGAACAGATTTTTGCAAACAAGAGGGCAATGATTCAGTTCCAGGGGAAGACTGACAAAATAAACCCCAGCTTCTGCTGACCTGATGCAATGCTGAACAGTGTCCTACCCTGGGAAAATATTTCCTGCTTCATTTTCATAAATATTTATATAATTCCTTCTGGGAAACATATCTTCTTCAGAAAACTGAAC